ATCAACAGCGATCCTCTACTGGATGAAGGCCTCACCAAGACATTGCTCTAAGCTTATGTTTCAGTACATTTTCATCCATCGTGATCCAGCGACGTCCTTCAGCTTTTCCTACCATCGTTGTTGTGATCGTCCAACATTATTATTACATGACTGTGATAAGTCATTTACTCTCTCTTGGAACCCGTCTAATGTATTGCTGGTCCAGCGATGGCCGATTCCTTCCGCAACGTGTCCTGCCTACTGCCACATCAGTTCTTTAGTAGTGCATTGACATCGCAAACTTTCGCTTGTGCCCTTTACCATTCATTTGTCTATCTTTTTTGTTATTTTTAGCATACATCTTTCCTCCATGCTGCTGTATTGTCTGCAGTTTATGAATCAACCTTGTAGAACCAACTAATCCAGACATGCCACCATTCTTTTCCACGTAAATCAGTGCCATCTTCTGTCCAAACGGTAGATGCGTGGTACCCAAGGTCAGTCCATTTTGCTTTCGTTTAATGCTAACCGGAAGACCTCCTGTTGTCATCATTTAAACGTCCCATGGGTCTTCTTGTCGGTGTTGTGCTTAACACATAAGAGTGTCAAAATTCCGCAATCTCCTCGGAACTCAGCCTAATTCTAAGTTATAGCAGCAACGAAACCTAATTAGTTATCTTCAACCGATTAGATTAATTTGCTTTTCCAAGACAAGTAAAATTTATTGATATTGCAGATAGTAAGTTTCTGTTTTTCAGCAGTTCGAGGCACAATAAGACGCACAGAGGAAACTTACGACACAATTGGAGTGAAAAGAAAGCAATTGCACAAAAAGAACGAATCAATAGAAGTTGGAGGCCTCTAACTCGTCGTTAAAACAGCGACAACAGTTATAAATAATGAATAATACTTCTGGTTTTTGATTCTGGAAAAACTATAAGTAATATTTACACGAATCCATTCACGCATTTTTCTCAAATATACGGACATTTGTACGCTTCACAAAAACAGCTATCAGAAGGGTTATTGGGTGCTAATAAAAGCGCTAGTACGGTCGCTGATATACCATTACCCATAGAGATTGAAATAATGCCTTTATCTGCGGATTTTCTGCAGTTGCCTAGTCCGAGGATGTTTCTCACTTGTGAGTAGTCAGTTATAACCCCTTTGTTACAATCACTTTGTTGAAGAGTCGATGTTTCGGACAGCAACCATAGTGTCCAACATCGAGGCATGACGTGCAACAACTAATTCCAATTGTTTGCACAAAATTTGTCAGTTGTGATCCTTCCAGAGATTTTCCAACGAAGATCTAGAACACGTAAATCTGATGCGTTCCCTGCCTTTTTTCTGGTGGAAAGTGGACGATAAATCCTAAACTCGCCAGCATCAACGCATATTCTTGCTTGCTACGGGATTGGCTAGAATTTCGTACGTTACAACTCGAGATGAGACGTACCAAATTTTTAGTTTGATGTGTTGCATCTTATTGATGCGAAACTTCAGTCAGTCGTGCAATTTGCTGAAACGTTCGAAACAAATTTCAGACAAAACTATTAGTAATCGCATATAGGGGTCTTAGAGCCTGCGAACAGATCTTACAGCGAGGTTGCCTCGGCGATCACTCCTTTAAAGTGTGCGGTAATGAAACTAGGATATTTTATTTGCATGAAGACTATATGACGGAATGGTACTGTACGACACTTGACTCAAGACGGAAGACTGAGGTGACACTTCGCGGATGATATCAGTAGATGGACGCAATTGAATATCAATAATCGTATGAGATCACGATGAACTAGGAGTAATGTTATGAAGTTGTGTATCCCGCAGTGTATTCTGTAAAGAGAGATGGCTTTTGTAGCTTACTGTCGACTGTAGCAGTACATTTTAAACGCTACAGTGCTTGCGTTCTTCTTTGATGGTCCACTTTTTGCAGTCGCTATTTACGATCATGATTGCAGCATTGTCTTGGCGTTTGTTCCATTTCAACGGTACAACACTACGGTGGCTTTAAATTTATGCAAGCATTGCTGCCTTACGTTATTTCACAACTCTGCTGAAACATGACACTTCTGATTCTTATATGTTTTTGAATGAGGAGTCCGTTTTTCAAGTTGCAAGGAGGCGTGTCTGTTACCATTGCAGTTCTTGCGGAAACTTTTTGACAGTCTGCTATAGTATCATTTCCTAACCGTCAGGAGTTAAAATTAAAAGTTGACTTGAACGTATGTTACACTGGTCCAGCTTTCTAACCTATGTAACTTGCTAATGAC